ATATATATATATATATGTGTGTGTGTGTGATTTTAGAGTTATTGTCTTACGAATCTTAACAACAACCGACATCAATCTAAAGAAAATATATTTTGCTTTCTTCGACCATCCAGGGTTTTAAAAATGTTCGCGTACTGAGTCGTTTTACTTTGGCCTTCATACTGCATCCTGAGTTTATGATGCATTCATTTGTATATGTTTATCACAGTGCAGCATCTGTTTAATCATAATGTCGTTATGTAGTCATGAACAATCTCTTCACCTCTTGGTGTTGCGAAAATGCCAACCGTCTCCTGCATAACGTGTCCGTTCTTTTCTGGCGGCTCAGGCCGCCAGCCGGCTTTTTTCTGGGCATACGGTATTGCAAGCGTTAGCAACAACGCACAAAGGAAAAATCCGGTACTGATATAGAAAGCTATCTCGAACGATCCCGTTTTATCGTATGAAAGCCCTGTAAGATTAGAACAACAATAGCTTTGAGTGGGAATTCCGTCAGAAATGATAACGTTACGGTGAGGTATATATGAATAACATGATAACACAATCAATCATATTCCAAAATCAGTATCATTGATTAATAGTTGGTCTTTTATCAGAATAGGCGTATACCATTATCAAGTAATATAAATGAGTCAATATTATAAACAACCAAAGGTTATTACCTCTACAATAATCTAGGTCCATAGCCTAATTACTTTGATTAGTTATAATTGTCAAAAATCATTCTTTTTCAATAAATAATTCTGTATATAACGTATTTAATTTTTTTTTAAAGAGTATGACTGAATCTTGAAAGATTTTTCTAGAAGCAGGCCTAATCAGGGGTCAATATGATTGTTCCCTCGCATAATCAAATTAGGATGGACAGCTCAGGTTTGTACAATTTCAACTGGGATACAATGCATGCTGCGCTGTTAGGAATTACGCAACGCAATCCGTTTTACGCGCATTACGGCATGATTAAGATGTTGCACTAATTATATTAGTTGACATACCTGCAACTGTTGGCCCGACCATGACACCGATACCCGCAGCAAGAAGAGATATTGTCCATGACTCTGCTAGTATTTTACTGCCGAATAAGTCCATTGTTGCCTTAAAGAGCATACTATTCACGATACCTGTACAAACACCAATTACTGGAACGGAAAATATATATATATAATTAATTTTTTTAATCACACATTTCATCATATTAATCATTTTCAAAATCAATTCCAAGCTAGATCCGTATTCTTGTGGTTCCACTAATACAAATGCCTAAATGTTAAACCTCAGGCACATAAATGGTTCGTCGTCTGATACGAATATACGACAAATTTTATTGCAATTTTCTTCATACGATTAAAACTGAAGTTAAACACAAAGTATGAAAGTTGATGAGAAACAAAGCAAAAGTTAACTATAATATTAAACAAGTTATATCAAAAATATAAAATAGTAAAAGACGGGATTTATTTATTTATTAACATATTCATTACTTAACATTTATTTACAGTAATTATTTATTTAGTTTATAACATTCTTATTTTATTTTTTATTATATTCATTCTGGCAATACAAGTAAATATGAAACATTATAAAACACAAAAGCAATTCACAAACATCTAAGAATAAAGATGAGCCAGCAGCCAAAGCGAAACCAGTGTCATCTTAGAAATGTGCTGCTCCGGAAAATAAGACAATAATTTGTTTGTAAACATTTAAAAAAAATCAAATAACAACAATTAATCAAATTGAAACAAAATGAATTATAAAAAGTATGTCATACAGAATTTTCAAAAAAGCTTTCAGATGTTTTCCGATCGTGCGCATGAAAATGTTTATTTGATCAAACTCAATTCCGTCGATCACGTTTCTATTAGGAATTTATCGGCGAATTGTGACTTTTTTCCCAATGGTTAATGTATAGTAGTAGTAGCAGTCTCATAGACCTACAATTATAATTTGAAAATGATCCATTTAAGTTATACTTTTATGAATATTAAACTACTATTGTCAAATAAACACACAGCGAAATATTATTGGGTTAACACAACACTTCAGTATATATCATGAACTCTAGAGTTTGTTCAAAGACTGGCGCACTAATCAATGAAGATGTAATTTGTCAAAGATAAGACATTGCTCTGAAAATTTTGGTTAAATAAAATAACAGGACAGAGATAAATAATGATGACTATGCGATAGGCCTATACACACAAATTTTAAGACAACTTTAGTCATTAGCTCATTCATTGTTACCTTCCGGTGGACTACTGCTTAAATATCTAGTATAATAAGTACTGTAAACAGTTATATAATTTTCAACTATTTAATAAATATTTCCTTCTTTTTGGTTGTAAAATTCACAATTTCTGACTGAAAAATGTCGCACAATTAGTCCCTACAAACAATTTGAATGTCACTTCATAAGAAATCATAGCGTTTTAGAAATCCAAAGTCGCTAAGAAGTGTAAGAGCGCCACCGATGTTATCGCCACGTCAGTATCATTCGAGTTTTTCTTAGGATGGATCTCAGGAACATAGGCTCCCAGCGGGGAGCCTATTTGTGGATCATGATGTGGATCATCATGAAAAAAACATTTGTGGATAATGAAGAAAACCCGTCGTTAATCGTTTTAAGGTGGGGTTATGTAAAATATAAATACACCACAAACCTCTTACTATAGTTAAAATAAACAAGTGTTCATGATTTAAGAATCAAGATTTGCAAATACTGTAAGATCTTATTAACAGAATACTAATTTAGTGTATTTGTTATAATGTTCAGTTTTTATATGTAAAGTACTACTTTAATGTGTTTTAATCGTATATATTTGCTCCAATGGAAACAGCCTGGATAATTTAAAGTAAAACTTATAGTACTTACCTATTGCATAAATTATGAGATGAACGTATGTGTCTGCGACGACCAGGCTGCATGTTGCAGCTGCCATAATCGAAGAGAAAATAGGATAGACATAGATCGATGGGAATGGTAAATGATCACCGACAATCGTGCTTGTAAACCGACCGATGAAATCACCAATACCAACACACAAAAGAATGAAGGCGGCCCCCCGTAAACTGATACCAATGGTGGTCATGAATTTCACCTGTAAAAAGATCAAAGTACCATAAAGTTATAGTAAGCAGATAAAATTACCTATTATTTCATTTTCACTTCTTGACATTATAGATTAGATGAAAATAAAAGTTCGTTAAAATGTTTCGTCAACGTACGGTACGGTAGATTATCCACAGACTCGCATTAAAAATCACTTGAAAATGTGGGAGTGTATTATAAATCACACAAAAGTAAAAAATAATAATGTTATTAATAATTCCTAACTTATCACAAGAATATCAAGTAATTGTTTCAAATCTTTATCGTGTGTAAGAGATGAAAAGGATGCAAAGGAATTAATGAACCTTTCCAGTGTGTCAATCAAACTTAACAACTGACCAATCAGAACAGAATTATGAATATGCGCGCGTTAAAAAAAAGAACCACAAACAAGTGCTGTGTCCCACAGTCGTTTTGTGGGACCTTAGCAAGAATATCCAAGAGGCGGGGCTTACCGGAAAGGAATTAGTAATGTTAATACTCGAAATTAATGCAAGAGGATGTTGAGTTGTCGAGATTGGAAGTGTAGCTCTGCTTGAGCTTAAAGCCAGACGCACACTGTGTCGTACGACCGTCGTTAAGCGAATCCAACTCCGCTCACTGTGAGCGCTAGACGTCTGCTTATTGTCGTGGCCGTTCTGAACGACGCCGGATCGTCATTAACAACGATCCGTTGCGCGCGTATCGTGGCGTTCTTTTCATCCATAGGATTGCGTCTGCAGACGGTCGTCGGGGTGCAGTGAGTACCCGGCCTGTCGCTTGCCTTTTAATTTCAGGATCCAGGTTCAAATCCTATTCACATTACATTATATATATATATATATATATATCGAACGTTTCGTTTGGGTCTATATCCTAGCTGCACTAATGAGGCCTGGAAGGCCGAAACGGATCCGTCTGCAGATATTGGGATTCCTTCCAGTGGATGCTTAATTTATTTTGTCATTGTCTGATCGGATTTTCTCTACTGTTCCGTTTTAATTTTAAATAGTTTTGTATTATGTGGCCGTTTGCTGTTTTATGGGTTTTTCCCATTTGCCTTTTAAAATTTATATATTATTAAAGAATCTCTATTGAGATCCAGCGGGCCGCCACTGATGCACGGTAGAGATTGCATCTTTAGATCTCCGATCTTGTTCACAAATTCACGGACTGAGTGCTGTCTCGTAAGAATTTCGTAGGACGCGTTAAGAATGACAAAATATTCTCTGTATCTAACTGGAACCGAGCCACATAGCTTGTATTCCATTATTTGCATTCACACCTGGGCTGTGTATATATATTGCCGTAGTTTGGCTCTGTAATCGTTAGTGGTCGTGGGACTAGTTTGGGCCCTACCTAAGCTGGTCGAACGTTTCGTTTGGGTCTATACCCTAGCTGCAATAATGAGGCCTGAAAGGCCGAAACGGA